GTTGCGGGCCCCGCAGTGTCTTTAGAAGATTTTCCCCTGCCCCCGTAAAAAAAACACACACACGCACGCACGCGCGCGCGCACACACACCCTCAATTCCCGAATTCAAAACGTTCTTGGTAAAGACCCCCATTTCGATCAGGTTTTTGTTCAGTTTCCCTGATCCATTGAGCAAATGCTGAGATGGCCTTTTGTTTTGCTTCTGGACATAAATGTAGCTACACTATGCGCACGTTTTGTTGAACTCTCGTTTCGTTTGCAATGGTAAGAGTAGAGGTAAGGGCGAGTAGCTATTTTTTTAGTAAAGCAGAAAAATCATACTTGTAATTCGTGTAAATATGGAAATAATTTTTCTATAACTCAGAAACGAAAATGAATATTTTTCAAGTATTGCTAATTTTGTGATTTTCAAAATTTATTTTTATTTATTTATGTTAAACTTTTACTCATCTTTCATCTATTTTGAGTAACATACAGTTTTTACTGTTTTTTGACTAAACAAATCTAAATCTAAATCACTCGTTAACTGAAATGTTAGTGTACGCTATTCCAGATTGGACACAAGGAGTTTGTAACAAAACTCAATCTTGAGATTTTTGAATCTAAGACATAAGTTTGTTTCAGTTAATAATTTCTTTTAAATTAACTCTTTTTGATGACAATTTATATAAATATTCTAATGCTAAAAAGAGCCAAAGTTAGGAAATAAATATGATAATGAATAGATTTCCATATTTCCTAAAGTTCTCCACTCATACATTAAAATAGTCCTTAAAATTAAAATAAAATAGTCCTGAAAATCCAATCCTTAAAATATTATTGCTTATGTAAATAATTGTTAAAAATAATATGTTGTATGTAATAAACAGAATGCTTAATTAATAGTTAATTATGTTCAAGCAACGAGAGGGCTCATGTGTAGCTCAGACCACAACTTCCTGTCTTCAAAGATGTATTTTCCATTTATAAAATAGGTCAAACATTCATATGAGCAGAATGTATGTGATGATGAGAGGAAATTTCCAACTACAACATAGATAATTAGGAAAGCCTTGAGAATTAACTCTACTGATCAAGTTAAGTTCTCTACTGACTCTTGTATCAAATTGGTTTGATACAAGAGTCAGTAGAGACCAATCTTGCAAATTAAGTTCTAACACTTGATGACGGAACCCTGAATACAACTCATGAGGTCTTGACACTGCATTCATCAATTAGCTAATAGAGCCTGATGGGAATATAAGAACTATTGGGGTATTAGCATAATGTGTTCAGTATCAAGACCAATTCACAAAGAGAATAATGAAGATTCAATTCAGAAGAGCAGAATGGCTTCAGGGCAGGGAAGTCATGCATTGATGGTATCTTTATATTAAAAAATTTAATGAAGAAGTATGCTGAGAAATGTAGAGCTATCCACATACCAGTACCAGACTTAGATTCATTTGCACCCTAAGCTGTCAAATGTTTTAACCCCCTTTTTTTATTTGTTTTTTTAACATTAAAGATTTTTATAATATTTTGAATAAAAAATGTATAATATTCGTAAACAATGCAAAATTGTGGACATATAAATAATTGTATGTGGTAATTGTACGTATAAATAATTGTACGTTGTGTACTTATAAATAATTACTACGTCAAGGTTCTTGTTCTTGAATTATATACTGGAAATTACAATTCATTCAGAATCAGGAAATGACTTTCTCATGAATTCTCCTTGCACAAAGGCCTAAGACAATGTTTATTAGTCCCCTTACTATTTAAAATAGGCCTACATCTTGAAAAAACCCTCAAATGTGGCAAAAGAAGTGTAATGGGATGGAACTGCCTGTAAAGGACAATATAATATGTACATTATGCTTTGTCAATGATCACCTGATCATCAAGGGGGGTGATGAAGACAGAAGCTTTACGTTCTGCAAGCTTCAAGAAGAAACACCTAAAAGAAGGAATATATGTTTAGAGGTGATAAAGGACAAGGAACCTTGATATAGTAATTTCACACTTTGTAAAGAAAATATTGAAGCTACTCTGCTAATTGGTCAGCTCTCTAATTTTGCCATGACAGAGTACAAATTAACAATTTTCTCAACAAGTAAAAACCAAGCAAACAATGTTTGTTGTAATGTTGTACAAATATTTTTCTGCTTCTTCTTACTTTACAAGTTTGGGAGTTTGGGAGATTATTACGTGTTTTTATCAACGCGTTCTAGGTGTTCTTACATCTCTGTAGCCCCTAGATCTATATAAGAGAGCTAGCTTTGTAGGCTTTTTTGGCATCATTATGTTTAAATGTTGGAACCATTTCTTTTAGTATTTTTTAAGATCATTTACCACATTATCGATACTTCACCTTATGTCTTTGTTTGGAACCCGATCCCTCAAAATCAGACCCAGTAGAGCTCTTAAGAAATTAATTTGGGAAGCCTCTAATCAGCTTTTGTTGCTTTTTCTGAGTATTCTGAGTGTACACATTTCACTTATAAGGCAGAGGATGGGTTGAGATACCACAATATGAAATCTCATAAGTGCACTATTCAAAATATTTTTAAAATGACTCTTGATTAATCCATTCAACTAATTCTTCCATTCAACTTGACTTTCTTATACTCTCCTGTATTTTGGAGTTAATTTTATTAGATATTTTGCAGTCAAGGAAAGTGAAGTTAGATACTTTTTCAATAATTTGGTTGTTGTTAACAATTTTTATTCTTAATAACACATCCTATTTTATTTGGGATGAAACTACCCTCGGTTTACTTTTAGAAGACCTGATGTTTTGCTGTCATTCACCTTAATCCAAATTTGGGTGTCCTGGCATGTGTTTTTAATGGCAATTATCAAGTTTCCTGGACTGGCTCTATAAAATACTCTATAATTTTAATCTCTCTACACTGTTATATTTTGCAATAACCCAGAAACAGCATATATGTGGGCAGATTATATTATCTTCTTTTCTCTAATATCTCTTTCACAATGAAAATAGTATCACACCAACGTCTACCTTGGTATACAATTTTGAAGGTGTTGTTAATCCCTTTGATCCTATGATAATTATCACAGACTTCTTTTGATCACCATTTCATACACATTAATTATTAAGGCTTTTTTCCAATCTTCCAATCTGCAGGCACTTTGCTTTCAGTGCAAAGATTATTTAAGAATTTTCATAAGAAACTTTTCATCTGATCTGCATATTTCTGTAACTTCATTGACACACCATTTACCATTTATAACTGATTTACATTTTCTGTCTCCACCTCCCCAACAACTAATGATTTTAAGGAAAACCATCTACTTTTATAACCCTATCCAAATTTTCCTTGACTTCTAATGATTCTTCTACAAATTCACTGGTTTTTCCCTGACTTATGCAAAGCAAATTAAATTTCCAAATTTTCCATATTTTCCAGAAAGTGGCCACCCTGACTTGAAAATTATATATTTAATGTCTAATGTTACAGAGTGTAAAGAATTTTATGGATAATATACTAAAAAATACAACTTAAAAGCTCACCTGGTGTACCTTTATTTTATTGCTTTCTTCTTAGAAATAATAATAATCATTATAATTATTAGATGTTCATTCCCAAAACACCCTCTACAAGAGGGAAAATAGAATGAATGCAGTGATTTTGCTTTTAAATAATTTAATTTGCCAGTATCATGAAACATACAACTAATTATTATTATTATTATTCTAAAACATTAAGATATGTCAATTTAATGGTTACCTTTTTGTAGCGAACAGCATTTGGATGGAGTACAATTTATACACACATAGATTGTTTATTACATAAATAGACATGTATATTTTCTATGTAACATGAATTTTATACTTCCTCACACACATATCTTATTGTCTGCACAATATGCACAACAACACTAACAATATGCACACTGGGTCCACACCAAATCTGTGCAAGAACATAGATTGGCAAATTTGTTGTAGTAAAACAAATAATAAAATATTCTCAAAATCAAGTCAAAGAGACAAATTTGCTGAGTAAAATATAAATTAAATTTATCCAGTCATTTTACTTTTTCAAAAACATTGAAAATGGCTAAAATAAACCTAATAAGCCAACAAAAAATATTTGAAAAAAGAAATAGGAATCGGCAAAAAATTAAAATTTGTATTTTATTAACAGTAGTAGTAGTTTGTATTTTAGTAGCAACAATTCAAAGGAACAAAAATGCAATATCATTGTGCCAGAGAAATATTTACAAATCTACAACAAATACTTCACAAGTCTTAACTTAATTCTTTCATTTTTTATTGTGGCCCAGTCATACTTTAAATAACCTTTTTTTTTATATATTATGCTAACCCAACAACCAGAAGGCATAACAGAATTTTTCTAAGCATGAAAAATTCATTTGTTACTAGAAAAACTGTTCCTGAGATACCACTAAAATCATTTTAGTTATGGCCCCATTCACAATAATTTCTGATAATATATAATTGTGTTTTGAATTGTTTATAATATTGTACCTTTTCCTGTTTTAAATGTTAGTTTTATCTAACATAATATCACCAACTTCTTTAATGCATTCAACTGGCATGTATACTGCCTTATAGAATTTAAACCATTCTCCAATATTGGAAATAACATCTCCTAACAATGTGTCTGGAATAATAATCTACTATTCTGTGCCTGTATTTCTAATGAATATAAAAATATACATTTCAATTAAACAACTAGTATGTAATATCATACTATACTTATCAGCAAAAGCATAAGTAATAAAATAATCATACTATGCGTAATTTGTTCATTTGGTATGTGTAGGCCTCTACAACACATTTTAATGAATAATTACAATCAAATTGAAAGAAAAAAATACCCAAATATCCAGAGAACAAAGAAAATTGAACTTACAAATGTAATATTTTTCATTTTAAGCTAACAAGTTTCCTTTGTCTGGTACACATTTAATCAAGTTTCATCTTTGAGCTAATTTACACATTTTAATATTCACCATAAATTTTCAACCAGAAATAGGACTCCTTACCTTGGAAGATGCGGGCATCAAATCTTGATATGCTACATTCATATTATTGCACAAGGATTGTGGGTGTCATTTAAATCTTAAATACAGTTCAGCAGTTTATCTTTATTGTAATTTTTCTTTAAAGTTGTTTACTTGTATTTGCATGTATTTTCTTTAATATGTTACCCAATAAACCAAAAAAATAACATTTCTTTCATTCTATAATATATTTTCCAATCTTTTCAATTTTAATTTCAACAATGTGCAGGAACTGTGATATACAATTCTCTTCAAGCTTTTAATGCAATTTGATTATTTTGAAGCCTTTCATTTAAAATATGACATATAAATAAATATTCACTTTCTTAGAAATACAAATTACACTTCCACTTCCTGCTTGATGGTAAATTATAAAAATAAATCATGTATTTATGGAAAAATTAAAAGTCTGAATAGTATTCTAGATACATCATAACAATTTTCAGATTTTGCATAACAATAAAAGTTCTTGACTTTTCCTCAACTTATGTACTTTTTCCCATTTCAATATTGTAAACTTAATCTACGAAACTAATTTTTTGAATGGCTTGGAAGATCCAGATTATACACCATAAGTTCACTAAATTATTATTATTATTATTTTTTTTTTTCAAATTTAATTCTTGCTTGATCACTAGTTATTTGATTGAAATGTTTTTGTTTAATGTGGAAGATACATTGTTTTAAGAGTATTTCTGGCATTAAACTAAGATATAAGGCTCAACATTTATTTCACTAAACTAGCATTATCTACCACTTTTATACCTACATTCAGTCTCAAAGAGATTGCAAATTGAAAATAAATTGCTTACAGGAAACAAAAGCTGCAAATTGCTTTTGCTGATAAGTTAATATATCCTAAATCATAAGTCAGCCAATCAAATAAAATTGATTGTTTCACAGATTTTATTCACTTTATTATTACTGAACCTATTCAGTGAGTAGCATCTCTGAAATCTCCTATAATCCCAAAAAAACTCTTTTTCTCATTTCCAAAAGCTAAGGAAGAAGTATGATTGTTCCAACATTATATAATGACCAATGTTGAAAAACCAGCTATTCCTCATTCCTTATTGTTGGTATCTGTTGCCATTTATCAATTTACAAACTCTTTGCCATCAGTCTCTATCTTAAAATAGGAACAAAATATGGTATACATAGTAACATCAATTTTATATGCTGATACATACCTTACAATGTTCCTGGTAACTTTTGGTAAAACAGCCAAGAATATGCAATATTGTCATATCTTTACTAACTGCCTGAAGAGAACATTTTTATGTATTTGAAAAATTTTTACGTCTCAAAGTAAAAATCGATAATGTGTAGAATTATACCATTTAACATTTAGATAAAAGTGGTAATTGTATAGGTATGGATGTGCAATTGCTTCATGAGAAGCTTACCACAGAACGTCAATAAATGCAATTCTGGTATTCTCTGCAGCATGAACATTAGCTACAAACCTACCATAAAACTTCACACATCTTTACAAAATTGTATTATCACAAAAAATAATGAACTTTTCACATAAATAAGTGAATAAAACTGCACAAAGAAATGTTCTTAAACAATTTAAATAGTACATTTTCTTTTCTTATTAACAGCATACACAATGTAATATCAGAAATTTACATACAATATTAGTTTTAGTTTTCACATGCATACATAAATACTCTAATAAACTACAATTTATTTAAACATACTGTAAACCAAGTCTTCATTCTACTTCAAATTATTAAATGGTAAAATTGTATTGTCTACATTACATTATGCCTAGGAACAAAAACAAAATATGACCAAATAACATTCATTCTTCAAACAACATAAAAAAATAAATGAGTTAAATCCTTGAAATATCATTGATATCTTTACTACTGGCCACATGTGCATTTAGTAAAATTACAAACACTATAAATAATAAAAGTGATCCCTAACTCGGAAGCCACATAAACACATGTATTCTCCAAAGCATACATTCCATTATTTACATAGTTAACGTGAATTCATCTCTAATTTATCACTGCCAAAGATATCACTGCCAGAGTATCAGAAACTTTACAAATGTCTTTACAATTCATTTATTTTTTTCATAACAGAATAAAATGCTAATTTAAACTTATTTGCTTACTGAAAGGAATTCAAAATTTGGAATGTAGAAGAGCAACTGAATACAGACAATAACAATTCTATAGTCACTACAAGTCATTGCAGAAAAAAATATTTTTCTGATATTAACAACTACAATGGCATTACATGATACATTATAAGAAACAACATAAAAAACGTAGTTCACACAGCTGTACATGGAGGAGTTTGCAGCTGATTCATACCTTTTAATTAGTTCAAATATCATTTCTGCTGCAACATCATTTGACTAAAAGTTTCTCTTCAGACAGTAGAATTAACACAGCACAGCATACACAATGTAAGAGCATTCCTTCCATGTAACATTTTCAATTTTTTTTCATCACTTTCACACTTTTGCTGGTCTTTCCGCACCCACAACTACCATTATTTTCTGCAGACAGCGAGTTACCGCTACTGCAAAATGAAACAATAACACATTAGTGACTAATACCAAATGGTGTTCTAAAAGGTTATTTAAAATCACAAGCAAATGATATGAAGTATGTTAGTTCACTAGAATATTACCACAAAAAAAAGAAGAATATATGAATTAGTGGCATAGAAAGAAACAGCATCACAGCTATACCAAAAGGGTTGTCCATTTTGAACCAACAGGATGTGCAATGAAAATATAAACTGATGCATTATGTTTTTTGTTACAGCATTGTAAGATAAAAAGCACTCATTCTTAAACTCAAAAATTACCAACTCTTCATTTCCAGTCATTTAATCCCAATTATACTACATTTTTCCATCAACCTTTTTGTCATACATTGAAGTTCTTTACAAGCCCCAACTATGGAAGGATATGCAAGACCAAGGAGCAAAGAAAAGCATTGTCCAACACAAAGTTTCTCACTCTCTTGATGACTCTCTTAACCTACATTTTTATCATTTACCATTTAATTTAGAATTTTTAGTTTTAAAATGAAGAATTTTAAATTAGAATTTAATTTAGAATTTTAAAATGCATCCACAAATCGATAGAACTTCACTAAATGAAAAGTTTTAATGGAAAATAGTTAAATAAAAGTAAAAATTGATTACAAACTTGAGATACTAATTGCTTTAAACATTGGCTTGTTAATGTAGTAAAAGCAGAATTTAAAACTAATCTAAAGTATTAAAGGAATGTGAATCACGAGACGAAGGTAGAAAGATTTAATAAAGCTTTGAAATTAATCTCTCAGAGAGAGTCAAAACTTTATTGAACTCCCTTTTCCAATTTTTTTCTTGACATGTCAAATTTTTTACATGTATGTTTCACTCCAACTGCATTTTAAAAAATTGAAGCATTTTTTGAATAGTGTATAAAAATGAAATTGAACTTTGAATAAAACTACAATGAAACTTCTCAACAAGACTACATCTTTCAGAAAACAGTTCTGACATTTTCATGACCAATAAAACAGAATAATTATAATCTAACATCCATGTATTGAAAGATGACAAATGATCTTGCATACAACCAATACTACCATTTTTTATTGTTATATAACATCATAGACCCTTAAAGACGACCAAAAAACTTCATAATGAAACTAGAAACCTGTGTTGTCGAGATACATTGTAAACCAAACCATGTTGTAGTCTCGCACAGATAAGTAAATGCTATAGGTCAAATGAGATTTTATGATAAATCCAGAGTAGACCTTTCAGAAAAGGCTCAGAAACTTTAGAACAAAAAGTTGAAAGATCATTTCACTGAAATTGAATCACAATATGTTAATAATTATACATTCCACTTAACAAAACACTGCAGGTTATTGCAAGACACCAGTCCTGGGCCTGTGAAAGTGGTGATTTGAAGAGTTAGACTTCTTGTGTTTTGATCAGTAATTGTATGAAAAAAGTATTGTAATTGTCAATAACACATTATCTGAACAATGATATTTCTAGATGTATGCATATGGTTTTATATGTGTAGATTAATTAATAAATTATGTAATTTAATTATGCAAACACAAGAACTTTTATATGAAAGCAAAGCAGTGCTCCAAAATCATAAATCATATCCAGAGCCATGGTTTGCTGCCCTGGTGCTACTTTTAAAAGGAATACTATAATTACATTCCTTTAATAGTAGAAAATTTTAATTGTTTATAATATAAATAATATTTATTGATGTGTATTTATAGATTTTTGTATTAAATATCTATGTACAATATAAAATATACCATAATGTATAATTAGCATAAATATAAAATATTAGTATAAAAAATTTTACAAAAGCAATTTTTGAACTTTCAAACTTGTAAATATTTTTATGATACTCTCTTAATTACCGGTTCCCAACAGGATCAGTGTAGACCCCCTGGGGGTTGTAGGGGTTGTAGACCCCTTGGGTAAGTTTGAGAAAAAGGTTGAGAATTCCTGCTCTAAATCAACATTGTGACAGATTTCACTTTCAAGTGATATCATTGCTAGATCTGTTAATGTTTCTTGTGATATGGTTGATTGAAGGACATTTTCAATAAATTTTAATTTTGGAAATGATCTTTCTTTGGTGGCTTCTATAAATGGAAATATTAATAAAATTTGTTATATCACAATATTATTAGGGAATGACTTGGGTAGTTTATTTTGATATATAAATTCTAATGTTTCAATTGGTAAGGTTTGTAATTTTAGAAATGTTGAGATTATATTTAGTTAATTTGCCAATATTGCTAAGTTCTATTGCATTTATATGTTTTGGATTATGTGTATCAGTTACATCAGTAAGTTGAAATTCTAGATCCATACAAATTGTTAATATGTCTTGTTTCTGCTAGTTTTTTTTGTTTTTTGTTTTTTGTTTTTTATTATGTGAGTGTAAAAAATTGAACACATCACTTTTCTCTTTAAGCAATTGAAACCTTTCCTCAATAGATGAAACTGTAGGGTCAATAATAGTATTAAAACAGTGTATGCGGAAATTGTCTTTCAGAACATTTGTACTCTCAATATTCATGTTCCTAACAGAACATAGTCTTCATTTTTTGCTTGCATGTAAATGGGAGGAAATCAGCATCTACACTGCATGAATTAGCAAGCTCAGTTGCCGTGTTTAGCATTTCATAATAATTATTGTCATATGTCTGAATGTTCGTATTAAGAAGAGTTATTGATTTTTGATATATTACAAATAAGGTAAATCAGGATTCTGCAAACTTTTCAAGACAATATTCACTGACAGCAATATTTCATACCAAATAACAAGTAAAAAAAAAAAACCTTGAAAATTTTGTAACTTCTCACAACAAGCATTTAGATTCATATCTAACTGATATGTAATTTTGGTTTATTTTTAATATTTAAATTATTATTGGCTAAATGATCAATCCCAAAATTTGTTAGTCTATCACTGGATCAATCGATATTTTTTCAAAAAACTAAAATAATGTTCTTTAATTTTAACTTTCTTTCGCTATTTTACAAAACGAAACTTATGATTATCTGTTTCTGATGGCTCAAGACAGGATTGCAATCACAAATTATTGAAAAATATTTACTATTTTGTATAATTGTAATTCAATAAATAATGTACAATTAATTAAATAAATAAATGACACAGATCAGTTTCTAGTAACAAAAGCATAGATTGAAACTCAATAAAAAAAAACTTGTTATCGCCTTATAAACTGTTCTGTTTATTTCATGTAACCGTTGAAATGTGAATTGTCAACATTGTTATTTATGATGACACTTCAATATATTTCACTACCTCAAATGGCAAAAAGAGCATTGCTCTTTGATACATATTACAAATTTGGTTTTGTTTAATTGAAAGTTTTAAATAAGTATTCTAATTTTTTGCCGCACTGGTTCAATGCATCTCTCTAACCAGGGTTATGACAGCACTGAGCGTACCTTAGTAGTTGGAGTAGTAATTGTGTATTAGTTTTATAGAATGATGTTCCCTTTAAGAAAGCCAACCCACTAAAAGAGTAACTTTATGGTATTTATCACATGGTCTATTTAAAGAGGTTTCATGGTTTTTGAAAATGAAATTTATATATTCTGAGACTAGGAAATAATCAACTTAGCTGTATGTATTGAACCAACTGCTGCAGAGTATGTTGCTAGATATATAGACCCCATTTATGAGATTTACTGAATTTGTAATCTGACATATGCATATAAATATTTATCAACTTTCCATATTTTGTTGCTGTAGTAATGCAATCAGACAACCAATCAGCAGTACTGTACTGTTTAGAAAGAGATTAATTTCTTCCTTCTCTGGAGAGAACAGAAGAGCCCCATTAATTTAGGTAAACTTATACAATTTAACTGCCAGTTAACCAATAGTTTAATAAACTATTAGCTAACAATACAGCCTGATATTTCAAAATGCATTATGTGATTTAATGTTTGAATATATTAATATATCATAAAAAGCAAACTACAACTGCAATTGTCTTAAAAATAACAATGTAAAAAGTAACATTGTATTTATTTTTCTAATATGGTATTCCTTAAAGCAAATATAGTTTTCAAGTTGTTTTAATGAAATTTCATATTAATTTAATTAGCGTTTATACAAATTGAATCAAAAACCTACAGACACGATTAAATTTTTGAGAAGTGAATAGTTTGTATTACAAAATACTGGAACTATCTTGTATGATCGAGTCAATTCTTTGATTGGTGCATTTCACAAACAGAAATGACTAATTTATTTAAGTGAAGCAAGAAAATCTGGAGAACTATATCACTGAATGATCCAAATATGATAAAAATTAATAATTTAAAATAACAAAGATACCAATTTTGTGTGTGTGTATGTGTGTGTGCATGCATGTGCATGTGTATTTTTTTGTTTTTTGGTTCACTTAGCATTTGATAAATCTAGCAATTTTGAGAATGAGTTAAAAGATATTTTCATGCATGGTTTGCAGTATGATTGTCCATTTTCAGTTTATTTATTCATCAGTAGGGGCAGATTTTAATGAAATGTCTTTCTTTTTCTTTTTTCTTTAAAACAATGTCGTTTTGTTTAGAAATTAATTTATGTTACAACAAAACAGAATTACCCATTTTCATATGGAACTTTTTTGCATTTTTTGTCCATTTAAAATAATAAGTCATTTTTTATCTTTTAATGTCATTTTTAATGCATTTTTTACCAACTCCATCAATTTTAATATAATTTTAATGGTGTTGTCTAGACTATCCGGGACGAGCCATGTCACTGGCATGGTGGCTAACGTTTTGGCCAGCATGTTATGGCCTTCTTCAGGGCATACACACAAACTCCGGCCGCGGAAGCCTACACAACCATAATTTTAATGCTTTAAACAATATTTACAAGGTGCAACAAATGCTCACCACGGAATTCCTGAGTTTCCTTTTCAATATCTTTGCTCATATATTGTAACATCAATCAATGAGAGTATTAAGTAATCTAAGATTCCTGTGATGCCTAACGG